TTGGAAATTACAAGAAGTACCAACAGTGGAAGAATGGCAGATGAAAATGATGGACTTTTGGGAGCTAGCCGACCTGACCGGAAGAGTCTGCGACCAGAAGGAGGAGGAGTACCAGGAAGAATGGAAGAAATTTAAAGACTATTGAATTAAGTATGTTAAGATAACTTAAATAGAAATACTTTGGAGTAACAGATTGGCCTAGGAATTAAATATGTGAAATTGTATAATACCATGGATAGAAGTCAAAATGAAAAGAAAGAAGTTAATTGAACAGGTAAATTTTATATGAAAACAGTGTTGGAAAACTGCTACAATGAGTTATATGGAAACTCAGCCAGAGGGAATTTGAGGAAGTCATCCAACAATGATAACAAAAATGGGATTATAATAGTTAAGATAAATGTTTTTTTTAATATTGTAATGTTTTTTCTTTTTTCTTTGTCTGTTGTTATATTTGTTATAATATTGGAAAATCAATAAAAAAAAATTGGGGGGGTGGAGAGTGTTGCTGACCTCCCCACCCCTGCCCCAAATGGTGACTAGATATTCTGTTTTGGCATCCAAAATCCAGGTCCAAGAGCCATTTGGCTCCTAGCTTTTCTAACACTGCTTGGACACTGAGGTCCAACCCCCCCCCTGGGTCTTCTGGTGGTTTCCACACTGCGAGGTTGCAAGGAACCAGGCGTAGGGCCTTCTTGGTGGTGGCGCCAGCCCTATGGAATGCCCTTCCATCAGATGTCAAACAGATAAGCAACTATACAACATTCAGAAGACATCTGAAAGCAGCCCTGGATAGGGAAGTTTTTAACGTTTGCTGTTTTATTATGTTTTTATATTGTGCTGAAGCTGCCCAGAATAGCTGGGGCCACCCAGGCAGATGAGTCAAGGCGGGTGGGTAAATAATTATTACTACCTGCACTTTCCGGAAACAATTAAATACCTTTTTGTTTTAGCAGGCTTTTCCAGCTGGGTGAAAAGGCCTCTGACTTAGGTGCCCTTTTGTGTAGTTTTCAAACCTGTGGCTACTGGCTGTTGTTGTTTTTTGTTTACTGTTTTTAAAGCTATTTTTAGTCGTCTTTATGGCATGCCTGCGAATCGCCTTGATGCGCATGTAAAAGCAAATTTATAAATAACAGCAATAAAATGCACTTGCAGTGCAATGTCATGCATACCTACTCGGAAATAAGACTTATCAAGCATTTCCGTTTAGGGTGCACACATTAGAATTATTTGCATATATTTATAAGGTTGTAGCTGGAGGCGTGGGAATCATATGCAGAGTCGACCCAGTAAAATGATGCTAACCCTGAAATAAGTTCATCATGACTTAACCTGATTTCAGTGAGGATTCACCAAGGTGGCTTCAGCCAGATACAGGCTCACTGAAATTAATCGAGCTAAATTAGCCGTGCTCGTTAATTTCAATAGCTTTGACTAATGTTGGATACAACCCCCAGTTAGTATTACATGGAGAGTCACACTCTCGAGTCAGTTCATCACGGCTAACTCGAGACTTTTCATTTCAGCAGGTCTACTCTTGAGAAAGACCTGGCCATATTAAGTTTAATGGTTCTACTCAAAAGTATGACTGTACCCTTAAAATTGCCGTCCTATTAAGTTCTACCCCAAGCAGACCCAATTAACTTCGGCCAATTATTTTCAAATGGTCTCCTCCAAGTGTAGTCTAGTTGGACAAAACCCTAAGTTTAGAATTTATCCTGAGCTTCACTTGTAAGTTTTAATAAGGAAAGGTTACAACATCCGATTTATTTACTTTTCAAGTTTAGAAAGAAGGTGAGCAAGAGAGATGACTCAAGATTGTAAAAATATTTGCATGGCATGGAGGAAGTAGACAGATATTTTTCCCCTCCTCCTAATGCTAGAACTCCAACGAAACTGAACAGTTGGAAGATTCAGGACAGACAAGAAGTAATAATAATAATAATAATAATAATAATAATAATAATAATTTATTATTTGTACCCTGCCCATCTGGCTGGGCCTAACCAGCCACTCTGGGAGGCTTCCAACGAAGATTAGGTAAGGTACCCCTGCCCGTACGGGCCAGTTGTGTCCGACTCTAGGGTTGTGCGCCCATCTGCTTAAGAGGCTGGGGCCCAGCGCTGTCCGGAGACACTTTCGGGTCACGTGGCCAGCGTGATGAAGCTGCTCTGGCGAGCCAGCACCAGCGCAGCACACGGAAACGCCGTTTACCTTCCCGCTATTTATCTGCTTGCACTTGGGGGTGCTTTCGAACTGCTAGGTGGGCAGGAGCTGGGACCGAAAGACGGGAGCTCACCCCGCCGCGGGGATTCGAACAGCCGACCATGCGATCGGCAAGGCCTAGGCGCTGAGGTTTTACCCACAGCGCCACCCGCGTCCCAGGCAACGAAGATTAAAAATACATTAAAATGTCACACTTTAAAAACTTCCCTGAACAGGGCAACAGATATAGTTGCCCACATTTTGGATTCATTTATAAAGGATCAAAAGGATAGTATAAAATTATTAGCAGCAGCAATGAAAAGCTCATCCGTCATGAATATAGTCATGTTCAGATCTTATCTGCAATATTCAGATCTTCAAAAATCTGTACACGTACATCAAGCCAAACCTTTAATATGAAAATGTAAACTCAGGAGGGTATAAATGTTATCTTTCTTGACTTTTAAAAAGTCCATCCTAGGTTTTTGGCAGTAGGCAAGGAGGGGAAAAAACATTTTAGAACTCCTACTTACTTATAGGTAAAGGTAAAGGAACCCTTGACCATTAGGTCCAGTCGTGACCGACTCTGGGGTTGCGGCGCTCATCTCGCTTTATTGGCCGAGGGAGCCGGCGTACAGCTTCCGGGTCATGTGGCCAGCAGGACTAAGCCGCTTCTGGAGAACCAGAGCAGCGCACGGAAACGCCCTTTACCTTCCCGCTGGAGCGGTACCTATTTATCTACTTGCACTTTGACGTGCTTTTGAACTGCTAGGTGGGCAGGAGCAGGGACCGAGCAACGGGAGCTCACCCCGTCGTGGGGATTCGAACCGCCGACCTTCTGATCAGCAAGTCCTAGGCTCTGTGGTTTAACCCACAGCGCCACCCACGTCCCACTTACTTGTAAGTAGGACTTATTCACCCACCAGATAGTAAACCCATGGAACTCGCTCCTGTGGAAGACAGTGGTGGCCGCAGACTTGGAGGGTTTTAAAAGAGGACTGGACAAATTCATACAGGAATTACAATGCCTCATGACTATGCTCTACTTCTGCCGTCGAGGCTGAACGCCGCTTGTTGGGAACTGCAAGTGTTGCTGTTGTGTTTGTGGTCTTCCCAAAACGGGCACCTGGTTGCTCATTGTAAAAACAGGATGCTTAAATTAGTTGGGTCATTAGCTCTTCTAAGTCACGCCATTCTTCTGTTGCTCATAATTTTGATTTCAATGGCTCTCCGCTCTGAACATGACGAACACTGGACACAACTCTTAGGTTAGAGATAATTTTAAGACCATTGCTTTCAAAGGGCTTAGTATAATGTAGGTTGGATACCACCTTAAGCTATTTACTACCTTCTTTTTAAACGGAGGAGGGGAGAGAAAGGAAAAGAAGTTTATTCTCTTGTTACAAGGATAGAAATGATTCCCTCTTGCCTCTATTTCTAGGCAAAGGGTCGGAACTGTCCAGGTCCTACTTCAGAGTAGAACCACAGTCACGGGAATGGGGGTGGATCCCGAAAACACAGCGTAAAGAGAGGTGTCATGTGTCCAGAAACTTGTCTAAACTCCAGCAACGTCCATTAACCACAATGACTTCACTCTGGGTACATATTGTCTTACTCCAAAACAGACCCACTGAAGTCAGTGGACCCAAGTCACCCTTGTTGTTTAATTTCAATGGGTCTACTCTGGAGTAGAACTAACACTGGGTACGACTTCTCCGTCACAGCAGACTACCTGAAGTCCATGGGCCCCAAGGCAACCACATCCTTTTACCTTCAATGGGTCTCCTCTGGTGTAGGACGAACACTGGCTAAAACCCGCCCCACTTAAGGGCAGACCCAGTTGAGGACACTGGTCCCAAGTTAGCCACAACCGCAATGGGAACATTAAGGCAAAACATAATACTCCAGAGTAGCCCACCAAGCCATGCCCATTCATTACTCTGGAGTAGGGTTACAAATCATTCTGCTCCAGAGTGGAACCACTGAAATCAAGGCACACATGCCAGCCATATCCTTTTCCTTTCAGTGGGTCTCCTCTGGAGTAAAACTCGCCCTGCCTCAAAGCAGACCCTCTTGGAGGCCAAAGGACCCAACCCAGCCACTTCCTTCTACTTTCAGTGAGTCTCCTCTGGATCAGGACTAAAACTCACCCTGCTTTAGAGTAGACCCAAATCTGCCACATCATTTTACTTTCAGTGGGTCTCCTCTGGAGTAAAACTCGCCCTGCCTCAAAGTAGACCCTCTTGGAGACCAAAGGACCCAACCCAGCCACTTCCTTCTATTTTCAGTGGGTCTCCTCTGGAGTAAAACTCGCCCTGCCTCAAAGCAGACCCTCTTGGTGGCCAAAGGACCCAACCCAGCCACTTCCTTCTATTTTCAGTGGGTCTCCTCTGGAGTAAAACTCGCCCTGCCTCAAAGCAGACCCTCTTGGAGGCCAAAGGACCCAACCCAGCCACTTCCTTCTACTTTCAGTGCGTCTCCTCTGGATCAGGACTAAAACTCACCCTGCTTTAGAGTAGACCCAAATCTGCCACATCATTTTCCTTTCAGTGGGTCTCCTCTGGAGTAAAACTCGCCCTGCCTCAAAACAGACCCTCTTGGCGGCCAAAGGACCCAACCCAGCCACTTCCTTCTATTTTCAGTGGGTCTCCTCTGGAGTAAAACTCGCCCTGCCTCAAAACAGACCCTCTTGGAGGCCAAAGGACCCAACCCAGCCACTTCCTTCTACTTTAAAGCGGGTCTCCTCTGGAGTAGGGCCCAACCCGACCCCCAGCCACCCCCCCCCCGCCGTCTCACCTTGAAGTAGCCCCCCTCGTAGTGGGTGTTGGGGGGCCCGAAGATGGCCACCTCCCAGTTGTAGAGGTCCCCCTCGTCCACCAGGCTGACGCGGAAACCCTCCACGGGCTCCTCCTGGAGCCCCTTCAGCTCCAGCAGCAGCGCCTTCTGAGAGCTGGGCACGGACGGCCGCGCCATGGTCGGAGGGAACGGGTAGGCCTCGGGTGAAGCCGGGGGCTCGCGTGAGCGGCGAGGCCGGGGGAGAGGAGGAGCGTGGCGGGGAGGGGAGGGGGGAAAGGGCGGCGGGCGGAGGGAAGGCGCGCGCCGAGGGAGAAGGCCGCTGCGGACCCGAAAGAGCGCCGCGGAGGGGCTCGAGCCACTGGAACGGCGTCGGCGACGACAACAACAGAGAGCGCGCGCGCGGGGCCGCTTGGGAGGCGTAGTTCCTCCCCTGGAGGCGGCGGCGGCGACACGCCCTCGTCTCCGCCCATCACGCGCGGCGACCAATGAGCGGCGTCTCTGGAGGCGGGGAGAGGGCGGGACCGGAGGGTGAGGACTGCATTTCCCAGGAGGCTTTGCGAGGAGCGCCTTCCGCATGTATTGAACACACAAACAAATAAGCAGGGAAGTGTCTTGTGAATTTCTCTCTTATCTGTGTATTTAATTACCTACATATTTTCAGTGGCTGTTTTAAATCTGTTTTGTCTTTACTGGCGATTTCAATGCTTTTTGTAAACTGCTCTTGAGGGTGTGTTTTTTTTGCCTTTTTGGAATTTTTTTTTTAGTTTATTTATTCAAAATTAAAGCAAGACATATTATCCAAAAACATATCATCCTTGGTCCCCCCCCCCCCCATTTTTCCTCCTGCCCCCACCCCCCGACTTCCCTCAGTTCCAGTCTTTGGTTTCTCTAAGAATGCTGTTTTCTGCATGTTACAAAGTTGTATAGATCCTCAAACTATTTAGCTGATTATTATCAATAAACAGTTTGTGAATGTTTATTCAAAAACTTCCAGAGCCCAGTTCGCTTTGTTGCATCTTCAGATACTTTGTAAAGGGTTCCCATTCATCCTTAAAGTCACAGTTATCCTTGCCTTTTTGGAATCAAGTGGTATCTAAATTGCATGAAATGGAATTATTATCATTATCATTATTTCTTCTTCAAATCCACCTCTTCCCCAGACTAGGCCTCAAAGGCAGCTTACAAAAATTATGAAAGCCCAGATAAACTACCGTCCTTTTTGCAATCAAGCAGTATATAAATAGCATGAAATGAATTATTATTATTATTATTTCGTCTAATCCACCTCTTCCCCAGACTGGGGCTCAAAGGCGTCTTACAAAAATAAGAAAGTCCAGATAAACTACAGAAAGCTTTTATAGATATATGTATATATAAAAGATACACCTACAGAAAGCTTGTTTGTGTGTGTTCTTTTTAGTATTATCTTTTTATTATCTTCATTTTAATGATTTCCATGGTGTTTTAATACTGTTATTGTTTAATTAAAAAGTAATA